AGAATGCAGCCGCCTAATATTATAAGGATTTGTGTTTGCGTTTCCAGAGCAAGTCTAATCACCACTTTTACAGTCCTGATACATCTATATGATAAAAACGATCAAATTTCATTGAGATGGATGGCATATAACCAAAAATTTTAGACGAGGTTTAAATGGCTACAAACTCGTAATGAGCATGGTAACTCGCCCACATATGCAAACTTCCAGCAATTCAAAGCATAAACTCTAAAAAATTCATTACAGTCATTCGATGTTATCATAGATGAATTGATATTCAATCAGCACGTTAGCTTACTTCTATACATTAATTCTTACCCTTTAAGGCAGAAAATGGAAAAAATCAATGAATGTAAAATCAGTCGTGAAGCTGCCTAAGTTACGTGCTCTATGCCAAAGTTTATGTGCACGAAACTTAGTCCGAATCGGTAGTAAAAACTTGCATTTGAGACATACATACACATAAAAACATACATTTTACTTCATATATTGGGCTGCTTCTAAAGTGATTCATTTTTTTCTAAATGAAACATAATTCCTTTATTGTTGGCGTCTTAATTCATTATTGTCCACTTAAAAGGAGAAATCATGTTCTGCATTGGTGCCTAAAATAGCATGGAAGGAAGAAAGTTTTAGCTAATAAGGTTGTCAAAGAGTCACAAAAGATCCGGATTTTTGGTTATGCGCTGTAGGTAAAGAGCAAATGCCACAGCAGCAAATAGACCTTTGTGTAGTACTAATTCATAATTTAAGTTATCAGGTATGTCTCAGCTCTTACAGAATAGCAAGACTTATTAAAAATTTGATATTGTTTGAATAACAACATTTAGAAAAGTGTTCTCGCCACATCTATGATGCCATATTGAACGCTGTGGCCTACCCTGAATAACTTTGCAATGCCAGTATCGTCTAGCCTTGACCTGCCAAAATAACAAAAACTTTTATTTTGTTTAGCACCGGGAATCAAGTCTGAAATTATTAAACGAGAACTTTAATAGAGAAACGAAAGTGGGAAACTCGCCGTGTCCTGTAAATACCCTAACATTGCTCTTTCTGATCAGACTTACTCTAATCCACAATTCTCAGATTATTTGCTACATCTTCAATTGAAGAGAATAACGAGAAGAAGTTACATTGAAGAATTTTTATCAATAGCCTGAAGATTGTCAAAGCCTCAACAACGTAAGTATATGTACCTG